TATAGAATTAATTAAAAAATTTTCAATATACAATTACTAGTGTCTTCTGCTGTGCTTCAGACAACGAACTACCATCATGTTCTAATAATTTATTAACTGATATTTTGAAATTTATTTTATCCTGACTAGCGATGTTAACTAAATATTTTATAGTTACTATGTTTTGGGTTCTATTACATGAAACATGATTTTAATATAAATTGTAATTCAACTATTTATAAATATAATATAAATATTTAATACCATATTAGCGAAAACTTATAGACAAAACATTTCTTAAATACATTAGTACATAAACAATATACCAATTGAAAATTAATAACCTATATGTTCATACATCAGATTTAGATTGGGCATCTATACAAGGATAGGTATCAACAGGATTACAATTGTTTTAATTTGATAATTATATTTACCCTATTTTATCTTAAGTTATCTTTTAGGTTAACCGAATATCTTAATTATTTATCTGTTAATCTATTTTATCAACTAGTTATTTGAGTAACCTGACAGTTAACTGGTTACAATACCCTAGGGTACGATCACTAATCATTGGTCCAGCAAGATAGAAATTTATTTTGATTGGTTGTTTATTTCTATTGAAAAACAATATTACACAAATTTTTATATTGTTTACAATAGAAAAATGGATCTGTAATCTGAAATTTTGCAAGATTATAATTTGGAAACATATTTTTCATATAAGTGTTGGAGATCGAATGAGATTGAATATTTTCACCAACTTTAATTAGAGACAATTTGAACTATAGTTATGCTTAATATAAAGTCCTTATATTAAGTTTTTTGGCTTTTAAAACAAAATAACTAAAATAAAATAGCTTTTTTTTTGAAGTTAAAGTTTTGAATTTCACGTGAGCAAGTATCAAAAATCATTCTTTAATTTTAGCCAATCAGGATCATTGATGATCAGCCTGTGTGAATACCACTGTATCGCTATCAAAAATGTCACTTTCACGTGACGATCTACATCGATTAGCCAATAATTAATCACAATTTGGTGTAATATAACACGATCGTGAAGATCCAAAACAAACATCAATTTTGTCAAAAATCGTTTATTTCTCAAAAATTCACATAAGAAATCGCCTTTTGTGCACTAACAAAAAAATTTCCTTGAGTAATTTTACTATACCCCCCTCATTTTCTAATATTAGTTTAAACTCTAGCCCTAACATAAACGAACTTAAAATTTTTTTTCGATGGTCACGTGAAAGTAACATTTTTGATGGCGTTACTGGGGAAGATATATGAATTGTGGATCTGCATCAAAAGGGCACCTAAAAAACGTGAGTTTCACTCTTTCATAACCAATAAAATGAACCTCAAAGAATACACGTTATACGTAATGAAAACTAAGAATTTTTCACTTCTTGTTCCTTCCAATGTGGATGAATTATCTTATTGTGGCTTTATTAACGTTAAGGTTACATTTCTGTTTTATGTCTAAATCATTCAGAGCAATAATTATAAAATGCACCATAGGTGTTGTTGGTGATAATATGCTAAAATTTAGGGTTAGGGTGCAACTTTAGAGTAAGATAGGGTTAGATATAAAAGTCCAAATTTTAGTTAGCATAAGGTTTTTGGAGATTCTGAACATTTTTACTTAATACCCCAGAGATGTGTTAGCTAGTACGTTTTTGAGATATAACAACAATGGTGTTCAACACCTATGGTACATTTTAATAAACCCGTAAATTCATACTGATAGTGTTATTAATAAAAAACTATATTAAAGTTGATATATATAAGAAAATTTTTAATATGTGGAAATTTGTTCTATAGGCTAGATTGATATTAATGAGAGATGGATATTAACGGGTTGATATTAATAAGGGACAACTGTATTATGACTTAGGTGAAATGGTATTTCAGAAAAGTTTATTGTCAATATTATGGTATTATAACTTAGGTGAAGTGGTATTTCAGAAAAGTTTATTGTCAATATTATGGTATTATGACTTAGGTGAAGTGGTATTTCAGAAAAATGGATTGTTAGCATTATGGTATTATGACTTAGGTGAAGTGGTATTTCAATTTCGGGGAGTTAGCCCGTAACCATATATGACTATTAAATACAATAACAAAATTTTAAAAATAGCTTTTATATATAAGAAAATTCTATTTTTATACTATCGAAAAACTATTTAAATTCTGATTTTGTTTATGCTATTTTTTTTTACCCTTCAGAAATAAACTATCACTTAAATAAGATTTATTTATTTTTTTTATAATACTTCACTTTTGGCTGTAGAAACAAAGGATATATTAATATTATTATCTTTATAGAATATTAAATTAAAATTATTCAATACACACGTGAAATAATTATTACAATCGTCATCAGAAATTGAAAAATCGAGAGTGGTAGAATCTAAAAAATCAAAAGGTAAAATTTTACCGATTAAAATTGAACATGTATATAATAATAAGAGTAAGTTATTTACCACAAACGTTTAACAACTTTGGCGGTGAAATAAATGAAGAATTAATTTGTTTAGAAAGGCTTTTAAAGTTAAGCAGTTTACTTGTAAGTTTATCTTTAGGGCAAATTGGCAATTCAGTTGATAATGTTGGGATAATTGCATCTGCAGACTGGAATGCTTTTAATATTGCAAATTTATCTTCTTCATATGTGTTATTATTATCTAATATCTCATACCATCCTGATGGTAGTTCGTTGTCTGAAGCACAGCAGAAGACACTAGTAATTGTATATTGAAAATTTTTTAATTAATTCTATA